TCCATCTCCACTTCGGTACATGCTTACAAGCCTCCCACGCAGGGAAGACCGTATATAAAGTAAGACACCACCACGAGGATTTGATATTCTATCGCACCGAAAGCATGAGTAGCCACTTAGATCGACTTCCTCAGCCATTACCTCAGAAGTTAGCCATGTCTTTGCCAGTCCTACGACGATTGATGGACTCAGCCCCCTTCGTTATAACAGTGAGACAGACCTACATATCGTGGATTTTCGCGTATTTCGAAAAATGCAAAGAACTTGCTGGAGACCACTCCTTGTCATGCCCAGGCGTTAGAGTTGAAGAACGGACTGCGCGTAATTTCTTCCAATGTGCGCAGTCTTAGAAACAAACTAGACGTAGTTCAGCTTCTCGCTTCCGTGATTTGACCGGATCTTATAACTTTCACCGAGACCTGCTTATCCTCGGAAATCCTGGGACTCGGAGGTGCAGATCCCAGCATATCACCTCTGCCGGACCCACCGCCATGGAGGAAGACCTGGGGGCGGTGTGATACTCTACCGGAAGATGGATTTCAAAGCTAATCTGATTGAAGCTACCTGTGGCAGCGATGGCGACTTTGAAACTCTGATGCCCTGGTCGATGTTGTCTACAGGGCCCCATTGGATTCCTCTTGGACGCGATCAAAATGCATGGTAGGGGTAAGGACTATTTATTACGGGGGGACTTCAATCATCCGGGTGTCGACTGGGACTTCATGCATTGTGTTCCCTCTTCAAACGCTTTTGATTTCGATATTTAGAGACGGTCCTCGAATGTAATTTATCCCAACATGTCACAATGCCTACTCGTATAATTGCAGGACAAACACCCCATATTATTGACCTTGTACTCTCCTCGGCACAATCAGATGTCACCGACCTAGCAATTCTTCAGCCCGTTCATAAAAATAATCACTATGTGGTTTCCTTCCTCTGGCGTCGAGGCCTTACTCTCCACAACCAAGGTTCACTCCGCAAAAGTTTCTGGCTTGTTGATCTCCAACGCCTATAAACGGCCGCCAGTGCTGTGGACTGGAGTATACCCAAACCCTTGGCTCTGGACAATCAGTGGAACTTCTTGTACTCCAAAATGATTTAGTTGGTTGAGCAGGTCGTTCCTGTCTACAGAAGTAGACCTTTTCCAGAGGTCATCCGTGGATTGATTGAGAACTGATGGGCCTAATGATCAAAATACGGAAACTGTGTGACCGATTCTAGCTCACACTCTGCTTCTGACTTTTCGGACTATAAAGTGGCCAGGTATATCTGTACCTTGAAAAAACGAGAGAAACGGCATAAGTACGAACTCGGTTTCGCTGTGAAATTCAAGACGACACCGAAGACACTCTTCTCTTACCTGAAGAGAAGTCCCAGAGCAGGCAGTGGCATTCCTGCCCTGTATTCCTTGGTGCATGTCGATTTGCTTGACGATGGCGATGTAAAAGCCAGTCTCCTGGCCATGCAATATTCATCTGTTTACTCGATAGAGATGCAGTTACCCAGTGACGCGGCGCAGATACTCCCCTCCGTCGGAGCACGTAGGGGTGAGCGCCGTCGTTGCCAAAGGCATTCGTGAATTAGATCCGAATTCCTTGCGGGTCCTAATGAGTTGCATCTGCCGTTCCTCAAACCTGTGACCGATTACGTTGCCGCTCCTGTTTGCCGGGTATTTCGCCATTCCCTTGAAGTTGGACGGCTCCCGATCGCTTGGAAAGTGGGGATTGTTAGGCCCATACACAAAGGAGGGGATCGTCAAGATCCTACCAGTTATCGACCCATCTGCTTAACGTCAATATTGTGCACGGCAATGGAGAGAATTCTCAAGCGGTCACTTCATCTTCACCTTGAGGACCTAAACGTCATCTCTAGTTCGCAGTATGGCTTTCGGTGGAGACGCTCACGCTCACAAATCTGCTTGTTGCCCGGGAAGGATGGGCGAAATGATTAGACGCTGGGAAACGCCTGGATGTTGTTTTTGCCGACTTCAGCTAGGTGTTTGACAGGGTTCCTCAAGAAAAATTTCATTATAAACTACGAGGAATCGGTGTTTCTGGGATAGTTCTCTCTTGGATCGCCGATTTCTTGGATGACTGCACAGTGCGAGTCAACGTGAACGAGACTTACTACCGTTCTGTGCTCATGACTAGCAGTTTCCCGTAGGGATCGGTCCTTGGCCCAGAACTTTTCAAGAGCTTCAATGACCTCTGATCGGAACTTCAGACGGATTGCTTGATTTACGCTGACGACTTAAAGCTGTGGATGGAGGTACCTTGTCTTGTTGATGCGGACAGCTTACAGGCGACACTTGATACGTCACATGAGTGGTCAATCAAATGGCGATTGTCCATAAATCGCGATAAGTGCTCGGTCCTCCCCTGACCCTTTCGGGACGTACCACATTGGTGGAGTATTGCATAAAACCTCAGTCCTCAAAAAAGACGGCGTGTTGGTGTCATCTGATCTACGGTCCACGCAGGGCATGTTACGAAGGGTTGTTGCTGCCAACAGGATGTCCCATGCCATACGAAGAGCCTTCTCGCGTTTGACTCCGAATATCTTCAGACTCTTGTTTACATCCCATCCGCGCCCCATTATCGAATACGGCTTACCTGCCGTTCTCCCTCTCACCAAATTCCAATGTTGTCTGATTGAGGTCAAGTGACGGGGATCGGAGTACATCTTGGAGTTACGAGACTTGCCTTATGCCTTGAGACTTCAGCGGATGAACTTGTTCTCCCTGGATTCTCGTTAACGTCGCGGTGATCTAATTTTCACCAGGCGCATCCTGAGAGGAGGGATGGGGACGGAGCTGCAGGCCTTCTTTTAATTCAGTGCAAACAGTTCAACTCGAGGCCACAACTGGAAACTGTTTAAACCCAAAAGGCTCCGGGTTCTTTCTGTTCTCGTTCTATCAACTCGCTTAGTCAACTATTGGATCGATTTGCCGAAGCGTATGGTCGATGCCCAGACCGAGGAACATTTCGAACGAATGTTAGATTCCTATTTCTTGAGTACGACGTCCCTTGCAGCTTCCACTGTAACTGCCACTCTCCCTTGTGGAATACCACTCCGCAACAAATCGCGACCTCCACACAATGCTCGGGAAACGATGGGGCTAACAAAGGATTTTTTCTTCTTCTCTCTACAATCTTATGATCCATTTAGCGTGTTAAAATCCCTGCTCACAATTGAGAGCAGAAGGGAGTGCACTTGTCAACTCTATCCGTTCCTAATCATTACAAAGTGGGTGCATGCTGTCGGGAGTGATTGATGGGGGTGAAATTTCTCATGTGATTCATCAGGTTGATTTAAGTGTCATCCACTTCCACATTTCACTCTAGACAACTGGAAGAAGGTGGCCAGCGGACATTTCCGGACGTTTTCCCGATGTTCTTTCAGGGCCATAGTCGATATCTTTGCGAAAATTCTCGGCTTTCATGTGACCCCACCAAGAAAATTGCTCACGGACCTGTCCACCATGCCTTGTCCGGAACACATTGGCACTGAAAAGACTGTTGTGAATGGGTACCACGGTGGTCAAAGGGTTACAAAAACCAACGTACCCTAAACACCTACTCTTATGGCACCGCCGGACAGTCAGTTGTCCGATCTCCGTCCGCTTCCGGATTGAATTCGGCGTGTGGAAAACGAAAAAACACGACAATGTTGTCATCTGTACCAAATGCTACCTAAACAATCAGAAATACATAACAACCTACAGCAAAAGCGTTTGCGAGTAGCCGGCTACGAGTACGCGGAAGTTCTGTGAGTTTTTCTGTGTGTCCGGTTTCCGTCCAGTACTAAAGTGAAATCGGTTTGTGAGAAGTCGTGTGAGAAGAGTATAAAGTCGGGAAAAATAGGGTTTCACAGCTGAACGAGCCGTGCATAACATTGTTTATCACTTTGCTTCGTTAGTATCCCGTAGCTCCTGCGCAATACATATTTCCTAACTCAAAATTAATGTTATGATGCAATGCAAAAGGGTTCCGTAGGTTTTCAGTAGTAAATGCTGCCTGAACAATCGTTAGAAGCAGCAATCAATGAAAACAAGGAGCAGTAACCGATGAAAACTGCATTGGGAAGTGCTGCAAATTTTTGTTTTGTCTGTCCGATTTCCATTCGAAATTTGTTCTATCCTAGCTTTTTCGGACAGGATTCGAACGCCCACCGGATTGAAATCGGACGGCAGTCGGCCACTTGGCAGACACGTGCTTTCAGGGTACTTAGTTTATAGGTGCATTCAATGCACTAATGAAGGATTAGAGGGGACCTAATCATAACTGTTATCCTGGACTTGTCTTGGTTGTTTGGTCCTGCTAGATTGTCTGGTCTCCGCTGGCATTCCATTAAGCTGGACAAACCGCTGTCCGACCAGAATAAGGTGCACACTCGGCTATCGCGCTGAATCATCGAGCGCTGTAACTCGCTTCCAGAAGATGTCAGGAAATCTACGGTTGAGGGGTTGCGCGTCAACTAGACGCTCTTTGGCAGAGACACGAAACCTTTCTTTTCTCCTTACCGAGTCCCATTTTCGATTATATTTTCTGTACTTTCCATCACTATTATTATTATTCTCTTATTTCAATTGACTATCCTTACTCGATTTCTCTTTCTATCCCTTGTTTACTTCACGTAACTGGCACGGCCGCGACTGCCAGTGCATAGAACGTGCGCATCAATTGCTTGACCAGGATGTGATTCGGCTGTTCCAGATCCACCACAAACTCGGATCACTCTATCAATTCCTGGTTCAACAATCCGCTCAAGAAAGAATACTTACGGAATTCTCCCATCGTGTTCCACTCCTACCTGAACTTGACACCGCGCTTGTTTACGCCATTAATGCGCCTCAGGTTAGGTCCTCCATGGGCAGCTTTGACAGCAGTATGAAGTTCGCCAAGACGTGTTAGGCCCATCATCTGTTCAGCTACATCTCTTACTACTTAGTGATGAAATTATCCAACCGCCTACCAGGTGCCTGTTTTGCATTTCAGCCTCCACCGGTCTGTTACGCCTTACGCATTGGACACGGAGGCCCTCGGGATCCTAGACTAGACGCATACTACAATTTAACCGTTTTTAGTCTTTAGTGTGCATTTTATATGTCTCCCAGCGTTTGCTTCGCTGATTCAGGATTTGTTATAACTACATGTCTTTCAGAAGGTGTCACTGCTTCTGTGTACAAGGCCAATCGTGTCCAAGATGGACTTCCAGTTGTGCTGAAAGTTTTGGATGCACCATGCTCCTCTTCATCTTCAGAACATGTGCATAATGTTACAGATACTAATGGGAATTCCTTTATGCCGAGAGAGCTTTTAATTTTGCAAAAGCTCGAACATATAAGCGGCTGTGTCCGCGTTTTGGATTTTGTTGAAAACTCCGTCAGCCAGAAGTGGACAATAGTTTTTGAAGATTTAGAATCCAACGGGTTTATTAACCTCGCTAATGAAGTTTCTAAAGCGGGATTTCAGATATCGGAGTTAACGGTAGCATGGATTATGAGAGAACTGATCAAAGTGGTTAGCGAGGTTCACTCAGCTGGTATTTTACATTGCGACTTGAAGCTGGATAACGTTTTCGTTGACTTTAAGCATGAAGCGGTTAAGCTGATTGATTTTAACTTATCAACATACATAAGCGAGAGCCATGCAGAACCTTTATCAGGTTTCACAGCGGAATATGCCCCTCCGGAGGTGCTAATTCAACGCAAAACCTGGAGTGTATCCGGTGAAGTCTGGTCACTTGGCTGCATCGCCTTCGTGCTATTGTGTCGGAGATTCCCATTTAAAAATCCTCTGATGGCAGCGTTTTCCAGTCCAGCTTACCCTCCGTGTTCTGCCGAAAGTGGGTCGCAATGCTTCTCGCTGCGTCCAAGTAGTAAACTGTTTCATTCTTATTCGTTCCCCAGTTTTAACTTACCCCAACACAGTATGAATGGGTCACCAGACAAACTGACTTTGTCACACAAAGCGAAGGATTTCTTGGTCTCGTGTTTGTGCCGCGAAGCAGACCAACGCCCATCACTTACGAAATTGCTGGAGCACCCTTTTTTGAGATCGCGGACTGTTTGATGATCATGTATCCACAGTTTGCAGCATTTGATTCTGGAGATTGCACGTCATTTTTTGATGCATTGTAGGTGATATGCTTAGAGAACATTGTCTCAGTTAACACGCGTGATGGACAACATTGTCTCAGTTGATGACTTTTTCACTACTTTTATCGCACCACAACCATCTACTTCTGTAAATACTATAAACCTGGTCAGTTATAATGCTTTGTTCCTTATCTTTGCATTAATAAAGATGTATTCCTTGTTTCCAGTTGCATACGCAAAATGGAAACTAAGATGTGCGAAGAAGTAACTAATGCAGCTTGCATGGGGGCTCACAAGTGAGCCTTTGATGATTTCAAATAACTTCCTGGCACCTTTGGGTCATGATCATCATCATAGTACACGTTAGCTGCAGGTTCGAAGTACATCAGCTATTGTACCTCAGTACAATCTAGTAAAATGTTCAAAAGTAGTAAACATTACTAAACAGCAAAAGTGCGAAATCGAACCAAGCAGTATTATGATTTTTCATCGTTGTACATCGACTGTGATTTGGCCTGGAAGGGAGGCTAAGCGGGACGAGCAGGGACAAACTCATAACACGAACCTCACTGAATTCGGTTCTACTCCCGTATCGTTAGGGATCACATGTCTGCCTTGTGATCCGAAAGCTCGGGTTCGGGCCTGCGCAGGAACCGGGCCATGGTGGTCGTATCCTTAGCTCATGTGGTGGTGGTTGCGCGGCTGCGAAACCTCGGTACTGCGGACTGCTGGTGCTTTTATGTTAACATTTATCCTTAACCAAAGGTGTTCTTCGTCTGGATAGAATGTTTACAAACGATCTCAAAGTTTTCTTAATTTATTTCATGGCACTATTGGTGTCTATCCTTGTTAGATGTCAGGCGCGAATTTTCAGGACCGTATAACCGTGATCATGTCGTGCTTTGATTATCCAACACCAAACTGTTGCTACATTTATGGACAGTCAATGCGCAGTTGTTTGGAAAAGTGCCATACAACACTAATGCATGCAACTGATCGCGTACCGCAAGCGAGAGTGGTTTTGTGAATAAACGGATAGCTGTACAGCTAAATCCGATCGAGGTGTTGAAGTACAGATGCCAGTGTGTGTTTACTTATCGGTCAAGTGAGTAAAAGAGTATAAAATGGGTATTTTTTCGTCTAAGCAACGAGTTAAAATTGATAACTATTATAAGATGAAACTTAAGAAGTATCATATGAGTTTGTACGAAAATCGATGGACGATAATTAGGGTAATGTCACTAATATTCTTCGACGATAACACACCCTCCAAAACAGTACATGAGTAACTAGAGCTAATGCTCTGCTGTCATGCTCACATGCCTGAGTGATCGGTTGGTGTACGCTGGAGTGAATGACTGCTTTTGTGGCCCTGGTGTCCCAGTGAGACACATTTTGAACGAATTTCGGTCTCAGGAATTTTTTGGTGTGTCAACACATACAGTGATATACTTTTCCCGATCTCAAATACGTCCCGCTCTCGGGAGAAATCGGCTCCCAAAGCCTTATAACCATTACCGAAAACGTGATGCTACACTAGACATTCTAAGCGACCGTTATGTGACTGTAATATGTCTCACTGGGACGGTCAGAAGCGCACAAATTGGTTATTTGATGGCAGTCTATCGATCACTCGCGCTGATTGCGTGTACGATTTACATGGATATAACTGAATAAAGGCCGATGGTGTTGACGATGCACTATAATATTTACTGCTATATTTAGACAAATCACTTGAATTCTTTTCATCTTAATAGTTCTGTGAGTAACTGGAAATGCACGCAACTGATACGGTTGGCCGTCCATCGGTACCTGAAGTCCGAAACGCGATCACAGCCCTCAGTTGTTTTCGTGCTGCTGGCCCGGATTCCCTCTCACCTGCGCTATTTAAGGATGGTGATAAGGTCCTCTGCAAAGCACTGACCTATTTGTTCGAACATGTCTGGAAGGAAGTGTCCCGGATAAATGGAGTGAATCGATTATAGTTGCAACATATAAGGGCAGTCGCACAGACTGTGCTAACCACATGAGTATTAGCCTAACGCCAGTTGTGACAAAATTGCTGGCGTCGAATCTCGTTCGTCGCCTCACTGTGTAGCGAGAGTCTCGGATTAGGGCAGAGCAGGCAGGTCTCCACCCTGGACGTAGCTGTATGGATCACATATTCACTCTGCGACTGGTGTTAGAGCAGCGCCACGCATACCGCAGACCGACAATAGCTGTGTTTTTGGACTTCAAGAGTACGTTCGATTCAATCGATCCATGCAACCTCTTCAAGATACCTGCGCGGAAAGGTGTTCCCATGAAATATCTGAATATTTTACGCGCAGTGTACTCGAACACTACAGGCCGCATCAGGGTCTACGGTGACTTGTCGGATATCTTTTCGACAACAAGTGGCGTTCGTCAGGGTTTTCTAATTTCCCCATTTTTGTTCCATTTCGTCGTGGACCTCATCATGGAGTGTTCCCTTACAGAATCTCACGATGTATGCGTTGTGGTGCTGCCTGATGAAAGGCCAGTGAATATTGATTATGCGGACGATATGGTCTAGCTGTTTAACGATGTTTGGGCGGCGCAATCAACCCTGAATAACCTCTATATGGTGGTCTCATTATTTGGTGTGCGCTTCGCACCTTCAAAGTGCAAAGCGTTGTTGCAGCACCACCAGCCACCTGATGATCCCTTGACTCCAGATAGCCAGAAACTCAAAGTGGTTTATCAATTCACTTCCCTTGGCAGTTGTATCAGCAACGATGGGTGCACAGCACCTGAAGTCATTTCACTTATTGCAAAAGCTAGAGCTGCCCTTTTGCATCTGCGACATCTTTGGTGACAGAAAGAGGTTTCCTTCCGTTTGAAAGGTCGTGTATACAAAGCCATGGTGGGGGCCGTCCTACTCTATGGGCTTGAGACTTGGCCCCTTCTGTCTGTAGGTCTGAGGCGCCTTCATCGCTGTCTGCGGAGCATTGCTGGTGTCGGGGTCACCAGTGTGTGCGCAACGATGATATGCGTAGTCGAGTGCTAGGCAATGTTACCCAAGCTAGTTCCTTATAATAACAGCACTGAATAAATTGCCTTGGCTTGGGCACGTACTACGTATGTCAGGTCACCGCTTACCGAGGAGGGCCTAGTTCAGTCTGCCAGGTGTAGGATGGCGCAAGGCTCGCGGTGGACAGAAGTTGACTTGGCAGCGGGAAATGAAGTTACCGACGACCAAACTGGGTGCCGTTGGTCCGTCTCATCTTCTGGGATGGAGTCCACGTGACTCGCCTTGTTCTTGGCTCGAGACTTTACAGGACATGGCTCGCAGCCGACACCAATGGCGCGTCTGCTGCCGTCTTCTAATCGGATTGCCTGTTTAAAGTATGTTTGGTGCTGAGTTATCTGCGGGGTAATGACTGATTACGACGTGTGGCAGTGAAAGCCGCAAGGAAGCTGTCTCGCCGATGCCGCCTTACCTTCGCACGATAGCCAGCTGTTTGTGACGGTATGTTGTCTACACAAGGTGTAGGCGCCTTGACCCTGAATGTTTGCTTAGGGCATTAAGGTTTTCAGGCAAGTCCCCCTTCTCTCCCTCTTATTATTCTTTATTTCATAGGTTATCGTGGTGATATGGCAGCGAAGCATCAGTTCAAATGGCTGATGTACTGTTGTTGTTGTTGTTGATGATGATGATGTTGCCAAAGTTTAGGCACCTTGATCCTGAATGCTTGATAAGGACGTTAAGGTTTTCCGGTAAGTCCTCCTCTCCCTCATTATTAATATTATTATTATTATTATTTCGTACATCTTTATGGTTGTATGACAGTGAAGCATCAGTTTAAAGGGCTGATGTACTGCTGTTGACGATGATGGCCGTCCACCTTTACCGACAAGGATAAAAAATAATGAAGGGGAGAAAGGTAAGAACTAAGGCACAACCCGAAACGTCATCAGCTGTAGGCTGACACTTCGCTGCCACGCGAGCACGCGTTGCTTGGGATAAATGCTGTGACTTTCGGATTCCAATACAGTCAAATAATCTTTTCGGCCACCCACAGAAGAATGTAGGACCTAAGCGCCTATAGAAACCATTTACGGTCACTGCGCCTGTACCTAGTCAACAACTCACGGTTGCAGTGAGCTAGCAATCGCACGAATAGAACGCAGCATCGTCATAACAGCATCAAACACAAATTAAGCAGTCGATCCGACCAGGAGACAACAACCAGGCAATTGTGAGCCATATCCTGTAAAGTCCAGAGGCGAACGCAAGGGGCATCGTGCAGGCTCCAGCTCAGAAGGTGAGACGGACCAACGGCACCCAGTGTAGTTTACAGTGATTTGATTTATCGCTACCAAGTCAACTTTTGCCAACCTCAAGCTTTGCACCATCCGGCATCCGGCAAGCGAAACGGGCGCTTCCGTGAGCTCTGATTTACCATACCTAGCGGCTGCCTAAGCCAACACGACTTATTCATTGATTTGTTCTGAGGAATTCACCCCATTATTTCCGCCTAATACTTGCCTCTGCACATCATCGTTGTGGATACTCCTTTGTCGTCCAACTCCAGCAATGCTCCGCAGCTGATGATGACCTGGACTCGCCTCAGACGGAACGACCCAGCTCTCACTCCCGTACAGGAGAACGCCCCTCACTGTGGTCTTGTAAATCCTGCTTTTTAACCAAGATAATTTGCTTTCCAACACCGATGTCTCATTGAATAAGCTAACTTCGGCAGTTGCACCCATCGTTCTAAATACATTTATCATTCATCCATCACGACGAGACTACACCTTAACGTGGTGCGATGACTTAAGTGCTTCGATGATCCATTGTGCTATTCTGAGCTGCTTTTTTGCACCTTCAGAGCTACTCATATTAGCTTGAACAATGATTAGAGTCCAGACAAACTCAGTCTCCTGACCCTCCATGCTAGTGCTTGTGGTAAGGATGGTTGCCCAGTGTCGAAACTCCGCTGCTTTGCAGTTAAGTTTTTGGACCGAAAACTTTGGTTGATGACCATAATGGTTTTTTTCTAAGCCTGGACAACCTGGCAGTACCCATCCCAATGCAATACAGTACAGTGGCTCTCTCCAAACAATTTCTTGATGCTCTAGCCGTCACAGGGAACACTCAGCGGCGCCCTATCTGCTGCATCGAACAGGATAGATATGCGTTTGGATGTTACTTCTCAGATCTTTTCATCTTATTCTCCTCTCGCGCTTTTTCATCCTTGCCG